TTGTTTGTTTGTTTGTTTTTTTGATCTTAGTTTTGTCATACTTAATTTGCTTAGGAATATTATTTATGGGATGATTTTTTTTTGCACAGCTCATCAAATATTGATGAAAACTATATTAAAATTACATTTTCACTTTAGTTGCATGATTGAGAGGTTGTGGGATATCAATGACCAAATTTAGCCTTATTATTTCGTCTTGATGTATCGTTTTAATTAGGTACTTGCTTAAATGCACATGTTTCAATTTGTTCTTGATTTGATTGCCATTTTCTGATTGTTGTTTCCGTTTTATATCCATCCTTATCTGTTTCTTGGCGAGTGTCTCATTAATGGATTTGTTTATCCGTTTTAATACGTTTTAATAGTATTGTTTTGTAGGAAGCTTTAAATTTTTTGACTTATAATTACATTTGTTTTTTCAGTTCCTTGAGATCTATATAAGCCTGTTCAGATGGAAAGCTAATTTTTCAAGTTTTGTTTCTTTTTAAAGTATTTTTATGGGAAATCTCAATCGCAGTTGTTATTGTTATTAATGTGGAAAATAAGTTCCCTTATTTGGGCTATATAATTTGCTACTGTTTGTGTGTTGTAAACATTTCAAGAAGTGGTACTGATAATTTTGAACCGAACTAGAAAATTAGTGGTTAGGAAAAGCGCACTAAAGTTTATTGCTAATGGAATATTTTGGAAAGCATATTTTGAGTGCGTGAAAACATTCAGTCAATGACTAATTCTCAAATGTATGAGCTTCCCTTTCCTCACATTCCTTTGCCTGATCTAAACATGAAATATTTTGTAAAATTTTCTTACTTATGAAGTTCTGGAATTGTAATTATTATTTGATTATTGCTTAATTGTATTACCACCGAATTGTGATTCATTCGTAGGTTTTGCGAACAAAATATCGTCCTCCATGGAGGATTGCAGTAATTGCTCCATCGAAGAGATTTTTGAATTTCAACAGGTATGTGTCATGTCTTAAAAATTAAACATTTCTGTTTTATTTTGTTTATTCGCAGTGAGTGTTTCTAATTCTCCAACTTTGTTTATTACATTGAATAAATTTGTGGGTTGCTTCTGAAGTATGGCTTGAGATTTTTTAGTTCCTGGAAATATGAGTAATTTTATTCAAGGTTTGTTTATTCATGTCTGTTACTCTTGCGTGAAGTGATCGAAATTTGCAACTTTATGCGGTCTTTATGATTAAATATAGCTGTCAAATATTCACACTTGAACAGGACAATAATCTCATACATCACCTGACCAATATCCGTTAAATGAAGTAAATGGATTGGAATCAGTTGCACATCTTCACGAATGCTTTTCAGATTTCATGTAAATTTCTCATCTCACATATTCCCACAAAGGATATTGGCCTTATATATATTTGATTATTTGAATCAGAAAGCAGGAAGATTATTTTTATGTCATACCTTAAAAATGATGTGCGAAATAGTATCAGTTTATTTTGAGAAGAATTTCTGATTAATTTGTTGAGAAAATTGTAATAACATCAACCATATATTGAAAAGTGGTGCGTGTATAACTATTTATTAGTTATGATTTGGATGATTTTTATGCACATTCATTACAATTATCTAAGAACAATGTTTCAAAGATTTGCGGGATTTTTTCTACTGGATTACTGTTCACCTCGTAAGTATTTTAATGGTCGTTTTTTCTTCTCAGTTTTCATCCCAAACGTACTTGATGGCCGTTGTATAGAGTATATAAAGTACGCAAGACATTTTTCAACAAAATTTGAATGGAAATCGCACCAAAATATCATATCTTTTTCTTACTATTTAATTTATAGAGTAAAGCACTTTTTTTAAGCAATTCATATTTGCAGAAGAAGCGATTGGCACTAATTAATTCACATTTATCTTAAAACTTCAGAAAAGTCAAAATTCGCTACAGCATAAACAGTTTCATTCTGAAAGAGTTCTTTAGTGGCAGTATGCCTTTTTTTAAATTTTGATCTCAGACGTTACTAAAATCAGCTAATTGAGACTGAATATTACTCTATCTTACAATTCTATTATGATATAAAGTTTAGACTGAACTTTTCTTGTGTCATGCTAAACGATCTCAGAAGGAATAAATACACATAGCATAACTTCTGACCTCATTCAAATACGTTAAAAAATGTGAACATAAAAAGCGATTCACAGCAATAAAATAGTCGGTTATTTTTCTTGAGCACATATTTTACGTTATTTGGTTCGAAATTTTATTGTCGCCATGTAATTTACTGAAATAATTCTACCAAAATAAATTGAATACCATTGGAGCTGAAATAAAATATAAAATGTTGATTTTAGTGGAAGTATGCTAATACAGAATTCTCCTCTAATTAGATATTTTACTCTCATAAAAATTCAAGATATAAGAACAATGCATTAGCATAATACAAAACGAAAACGGAGAATGATTCATTTTCTGACTACTGATACTTTAAATTGGATTGAAATATGAAACAATACCCAATGCGCCTTCAGATTTCACGAAAACGGAGTGATTCGACTTTGTTTTTGGTACTTTTTAAATCGACGTGAGCGTGAATGATTTGTTTTATTTTTTCTTAGTGAATTGCTCTGTAAAGTGACAAATAGAATCATGCCACGCATGGTGTCAGATTTTGAAAAATATAAGAAGAAGCGAACGGAGCATTTGTAACAAAAACAAGTATTAGTGTTCAATAAGACTATCAGCTGGTAATCATTTCTTATCAAACAATTTCTTTGTTATTATTAGTTAAAAATAATAATTACCAAAACTGAAGCATTTAAGCACTCATCAAAATCGAAATAGTCTACAACTGCAAGCATTTCTCGAGATAAATCCTTGCCACGATTTCGCTTTGACTTACTGTCAAGTATACAGTTGTCTTCTTTCTGCTAAAACTTTGAAGAATATCTTTAGCAATATGCAAATTTTCATCTTTTTTTTTGCATACGGTGTATTAAAATCACATAAAAGTTGATATTTACAATAAAATCATAAATTAATTTTGAAAAAAATCACAGCTAATAGACCTCATAAAAATATATTACTGAACGACACTGGAATGGTTGACCATTTTGAAGTGAAGAATTTGACGAAAAACACTTCAAAAAACATTCCGCTAGTGTAGATGTAGTAAAAACTGCGTCAAGAAAACCAAGCAGAATACGTTGAGGTTGACGTTCAATTAATGATCCTTGACATAGTTTGGCTACTCGATCTAAACAAATTAATAATAATAAAATATGAAATAAAACTTGTGGAATTTATTTTTATCATGCAAAAATTGTTACAAAAAAAGTTTATGTAGTGATACTTTTGAAGTAAATATTTAAAAAAATTTTTTCAACCTGGAAAGCAATTTTTTTCATAATAAATACTCGAAGAATCGAATATCAAAGTATCGTCATGATGAATTGTCTGATACAGCTCACATCGCTTTGATTTTGTATCAAAAACAGCCGATGTGCATTGATAGTTTATTCGATTTTCAAACTTTAAGTATGTAAATTTATTAATTCAAATTGAAGAGATGATAAAAAGTTGTAATATCATATTAACATATAATGAATTATTACTAGCAAAAAATTATCCTTTACAGTAATATGCGCGACTGTTGTTTGTTTCAAAAAGTATAGCAATAATACATTAACTAATTAATCTTTAAGGAATTAAAGATAATTTATTTGTCTTATTTTACTTTATTTTTTTTCACTTTGTTCTCATAACAGTACTGATGACAGTTTCCTTCAGTTGTCAAAAATTTTTCATTCTGGTCACTCTGTCTAAGTAATCGCCAGCCAGGTGATTTCATGAGAATAATTCTCTGATTCGCTTCACAGGCTAAAAGTTTGTGCATTTATGATTGACCGTATATCATTTTTTGAAAGTTATACAAAAATGATCAATGATTTGAAAAAAATTATGATTATTGAATTTGATTTTGCAATAATTGATATATTTATTACATGTTAAATTTTTGATCACATTTTTTCAGCACGAAATTTCTATATTTACTCTATTAAAAGTTTTCAAGCATTATTTTAAATTTGTGCGAAACATAAAGTTAAAATAAAATCATTAAAAAATACAATATCTTTTGACCTCTTTCATTTTTTAAACTTATTTCGAACTCAGGCGAAAAATTCTCCAGTTTTCCATTGCTTTCACGAGACATTCTATCATATGTTCTGAAGCAAACAACTGATTTGAAATACATTTTCTATAATTAGTTACTGTAAAATATTTGAAATGAATGATTTCAGATAATGTTATTAATAATTATTAAAAATAAATATATGTAAAAAGAAAGTTTAGTTAAATAAATTGATAAAGTGAAAAGTTTTACTTTTTGGCGGATTTTTTCTCCTTTTGATACAACTTATTTGTTGAAAACTGATTCAAAAATGAGTGGCCTGGAACTTTTTATCAAAATAAAATTACTATGGTTAATCATTTTTTCAAGACAAATATTTTTGACTGCTAAATTTTATGCATTTTTGATTTGAGTTTTTAGCAATAATGAGTTTACATTATTGCTAAAAACTCTTAATATTAGCACAAGTAAATTCATAAATCAATATTACAAAAATTTGAAAATAAAACCTGCACTACAACCAGGAGAATTATCAGGTCTTGGTTCCAAGTAGTACTGAAATACAGACCTCAGCATTTTTCTATTTTTCGATCCAAACTTTAGATGGTAAACATCGCAGGAAGATAGACGCGGTGAATATGAAGCCGAATGGCAGCCAAGTGAACTAGAATACTTCTTTATATGATTTAACGAAAATTAATTGAACAGAAACTGTGTATAGTATACGTGTAAAGCACAGGAAGTCGACTGATAATTATCAGATATTCCTTACAGTACTTAACTATTCCTTATCATTCAAGATAAGCATTGTTTTGATTAATAATTTTTGATTTACTCATATTGTTTGACGATAACTCCTTTCCTTATTTACTTCATTATCACTTCTTATTTCAGTAATTTCTTTCGTACTGGAAAACTATGATCAAAAATTTAACATGCATAAATATATCAGCTATTGCAAAGCAAATTCAATAGCCATAATTTTTTTCAAATCATTCATCATTTTTGTAAAAATTTATCATTGATATTTTTATTCAATATTTTATTCTTTATCACTGGAATTTTGAAGAGTTTTATTGCTATCACTGATTCAAAATTTAATCTCTTTGTTGAAAATTGACGAGGGACTTCGGAAATTACCTAGTACAAAATTTTGCACATTCAGCCAAATTCATGCCAATTCGTCGTTCAAATGGGACGACAGCTGATAGAACGCAATGCTTTTTTACGTAAAAACATTGATAAGATTGTTCTGACTTTTGTCCATCCTTTAATTATTATGTGCATCAAACATAGCTTAACTAATGTACCACGTTTACTTTTTATAAAAAATAAATATAAAATATTATTTCAGTTATAAAATTTAAACACAAATTAAATTTATTTGCTTAAAATCAACCGTTAATTTATGAAAATAAGTACACAACACAGCTTTGAATAAATATTTCCCAAAAATTTTATAAAAATAAAAATAAAAGTATCCGTGCCTGCAATGACTTAGTTGTCTTTTCAACATGCATAACCAATATATTAGTATCGTTATTACTTTTGCTTTCACGATCTGAAAAATGAAATTTTTTCGTTAAAGTTATGTAAATTGCAAAAATATTTGCAATCACTTACTCAAAAGTTAAATGATAAAATATTGTCAGTAAATGAGAATTATTGTGATGAAAAATAATGATTTATTTTAAAGAATTTATTGAATGCAAAGAGTTTACAAAGACTGCGCAAGAAACCAAACTGATATTTTGCATTAGTAACTGTGCAAATAATTAAAATTAAATTAATATACAAATAATTTGCTTATGCAGCTAATCAAAATTTGAGCAAATATATAAAAAATTCAAGCTAAGCTTACTGCTTAGATCATCTTGACAAACTGATGCCAAATTTTTGACGTAATTGACAGCTTCAACTTGTTCTGTTTCCAACTTTAATGTTTGATTTTCATTAGAAAAGAATCGACTGCCCAAAATTCGATTTCCGTTCAGCACTTTATCATTCTGACTTTTAACGCTGATTATTTTAGATTGTAATGGCCTCAAATTTCCGTGAATTATGGCTCCAGCATTTGCAAACCAATCGTGTCCTAAAATATAATAAATTAAAAACTTATTCATTATTAACATTGTTTAGACTTGCTGCTCCATTCAGTCCCAAAGGATTTTATTTTTGATCAGACAAGTAATATAAAACGTTTATTGATTTGAAATGATAAAGAATTCCTTGAAAGTCAACCACATTAAGTAGTAATTAAGTTTTACTTTTGAGCTTAGTTTTAATCATATTATAAAAATTATGTCTTCAGCATTTGTTGCCCAATGCAAATAAAATTAATAAGATTTTGACAAAATGATAAAATAGAAGATCTTAAAGTTACCAGAACTGATATTTGGTTGAATAATTTTAACATTATAGTAATCATTATATTATCTAAATTATAATTCAAGTAAAAACAAGCAATGCTAAAAGTCATTACCGTACACCACAGGATTCCATAATTTCAATTTGATCTGCTGGCCACCCCTGTACAACTTTTGTGTTTCGATAATATTTCCTTTCACTATCTTGTGCTTAAACGACATCCCATTATTGCTGTTGCTGTTGGCAGACTTGAAACAAATAATTATTTGTGATGTATTGTTAGTTATTTCAGTTTTATAATAAAAAGTACTATTATGCTATTCTTAATTAAGAATTTGTAAGCTAAAAGTAAAAAATTCATTTAAAAATTAGCGTTCAATAAATTTTCATTTTAAAAAGTTAGTTTAATATTTTTAATGCGAAAATGTAAGTGGTGTTTACTTTGGAAACAATTGAAAAATTAGTTTCAGCTATGTTCAAGTCGAAATTGAATAGAAATTGCGTACTATTAAAGTCTTCACGCCATTTAGTCTCGATAAATTTGCAAGAATAATCCTAGTAGCAGCTGCTTTTCTACTTTTTGGTATAGAAATTCCCATTTGTTGTTTTTCAAAATGAATCAAACTTTGGAACGTATCGTCAATGTCATCATCAATAATAGACGACAAGTCGTAATTTTCTGAAGCTGAAATGCGCAAAACTGATACAAAATTTTAGAACTTTTGATGTAATTCACTTAAAGTTTCATATTTTAACAGCCATATCTTATTAAAAATCAGAAAAATTCAACAATCATTGCATTTTTCTTGCTAAGTTTTATGCAAAGAACTTTTTGGGAGAAACTGATGAAAAGACAAAAACAATTCAGCTCAATCGAAGCGAGAAAAAGTAGAAGTCATTCGTAAAATTTTTTAAAAATATTTGAAAAAATTAATTATAATATAAAATGTATTGAGTTGTGCAAAATTACCATAGGTACTCTGTACCCTAAAAAAAAGTTTTACTCTTTAATTTATTAATACAAATATTTTTTCAAAATTATTATCTTGCAATTTTTAAAGTTCAAATCATTTGGTTTTGTTTTGGTTTGCAAAAATTGAAATCAGCTAAAAAGTAAAAATGATTACAAAAAATATCACAATTTCAAAAGTCAGAATTTATAAATCAAACTTCTTAATAAATACAATAAACGACCATTATTTTGAAAACAAAAATTTTTACTGATCTTTTAATAATTTTTCAGATTTAATTTGAACTTTTTCATTAGTAACTTTTCGTCATAATTTTGATATTTTTGTCGCAGTTTAATCAAGTACATTTAGTTAATTAAAGTTAGTTAGGCTTGGCGTACTAAGTTCATTGGATGCCTGATAACTAAATTTTTGAATACATTTTATCTAATTAATAAAAATTTAATAAACAAGAATCTAATTGATAAAAATTTTTGCAAAGCTAGGATAGCTGTGAATAATTATTTGCTAAATTATCAAAATTTAAGCAAATTTTTAATTTTGTAGAATTATTTTCGGTTTCAATTTCTGATTATTCATTTTAGTATAAAATTCTAAGTCATTCAAGATAGTGCTGACAAGTAAAAATTATCGGAAATAAACTCACATGAAACTTTGTCTGACGAAGCTTTATTTTCATTGCCATTAATGAATGTTTGGTCTAATTCTTCCAACTTCATGCTCTCTGGTACCATAGAATTTGCAGTTGAAAGATTTACTGTAGAATTTCCTTTTGTTTTGACTGCGCTTTCTATTTTTCGAGAATTAAAGTATGAATTTTTTTCATTTTTATTTGAGGGAGATAATGCTTTAATCTGTTTATCATTTACAGATGTCTTTATTTTGGCTAATGGTATCGCTGATGGTACAGTAGTTCTTTGATGAAATACAGTAGCTGATGGAAAGTCTGAATTTTCAATTGGTTGTTGCAGGGATTCAGGCAATAAGCTTCTCGTTATGGTCTTTGGTGAATTCATTAGCTGTTTTTCGTTGTTAGTTGAGAGTAATTTTGGAAATTTGAGTAATGCTGAAATAATTTTCGTGTTTTTTCCTTCTACTGGTATTGTAGCAGCGGTTATTAATTCAATTTTTCGCTTCTCTTGCGGTGCTACAAACGTAGGAAGTAAGTCTGAATTGTTCACCGAGACTGTTTTATCGGTATTAACAATAGCAGTCGTGCTAGCATATGTAATACTGCCGGATTTGCTTGCTAAAATGTAATTCTGCAATGAGTGGTCTGTCACTGAACTTTTGTCCACGGTATCAGATGAGTGCAATAGACTTATTGCATTGGGAATCACTGAAGTTTGCCTGAAATATCGGGGAAATCAATAACTGGAAGTTGGATTGATAAAAGTATAATCAAAAAACACAAAATTCTTTGTACAAGTGTTAAATTACTTTGGAAGAGGAGATGTTGGATAATTGATGCTAGCGTTCAAGCTTTTGTTTGCATCGAGAGTACCATCTGATCGAGTAGATTCATGACGATGGGAAAGTGTTTGAGTATTATCATATGTAGTAGAAAATTCTGGCATTCTAATAATTGTATGGTCAGAATCAGTTCTTTGCATTTCCCAATAATTTGGTGTTAATGGTGCAGTCGTCGTTACATTCAAATGGTTTTTAGTAAATTTCAAATAATTTTTCGCCAACGCTGCTTTCTGATGCGTAATATGGCCGTTTGAAGAGTTATTATCAATATCCAAGTTTTTATCTTCAAAACTGCCATCCATCTGATTCCTTGTTGTTTGACTTTCAGAGACCATTGAATCTGTGAAATTCAACAATATTTCTTTGAAATAATGAATTAATTTTCTGTTTCACCATTGCCTTCTGCTATTTGTTTTTGATGTTTGCTACTTGCCAGATTAGTTTTTATTAATTCTTAACTTTAAGAATAAATTAATAAGTTGTTTTAGAAAGCAG